ATATGTAGCTCAGGGTTGAACTGTGGAGTCCTTGGTGCTCTCTGAGCTTGGTTGCTTGCTTATAGACGTTTCATTACCCAACTAGGTAACATCATCAGTTCTAGTGAGTGTGGGGTTTGCTCCATGTTTATATATAGTAGCTTGCCCTGCCAGTGTTGATGGGGGTATGGTTTACTCCTTGGTAGTTCCTTGATTAGGATATTGTTTTCTGCTTGATTGTTTGTCTGTTGTTAATCCCTGCTTATCTGGGTGTTGGTTGGTGGAGAAGGCGCGTTCTTGTCTTTTTTGTTTCGTTCTTAGCTTTTTGTTCTCTCTTTTGAATGGTGTGTAAATATGGTTTATTTCACAACATTAACACCAGACAAACAATCAGTCAGAAAACAATACCCTAACAAAGGAACTACCAAGGAGAAAACCACACCCCCACCAACACTGGCAAGGCAAGCTACTGAATATAAACAGGGAGAAACACCCCCCCCCCTCGCACTGATGATGTTACCTAGTTGGGTAATGAAATGTCTCCAAACAAACAACCAAGCTCAGAGAGCACCAAGGACTCCACAGAATGAGGTGTCTTATATATTAGTACATAATAATACTCTATAATCCCATGTATCTGTAAAATATAAACATCTTAATGTCAGACTGTAATCCCATTTGAAGCCTTGGAAGTTACATTAATTGTCCATAATGGGGCTTAGTTCCTGAGTAGAAATTCCTAGAATCATAAAGATAATAAGTCCCTAGAGTTGATTACGTGAATAGGTCTGGAAATTTTTCTTGGCAACAGTATGGAAGTGCCATTGTTGCCTTGTTTTGCAATCTTTTTTAACTTCCCAGTCTAACTTCTACTTCTGGGAATTTCTGATAGTTTCCCATCCAAATATAAGCCAGGTCCAACTTTGGCTAGTTTTCCCAGATCATCCAAGGTCGCCCCAGGGCTGCTGTCAGCTGTAACATACCTTTTTACCTTTTATAGGATCAGCTTTATTCAGTGGCGCAATAAGATGATTTCAGATATTGGACTTGGGGGATGAGGGTGCTTTTAGATGGCTAAGTCCTCTATTTTAATTCCTTCAACCCTGCCTTTTCTTATTCTGTTGAGGGAGTCCTGAACCTTTGCTCCCAAGTCGCCTTCTAAAGACACTCTTTTGTAGAGGGGTGATGGAAATATCTGGCACTAGAAGAGAACCAGTGATGCTGAGAAAGCCAGACAATGTATGAAATTTAAAATAGCAGCCTAGTTCCAAAACACCTGATCCAGAGTGAATCACCCTTGTCAATGGCTGGATTGGAAGAAAACTAGGTTGAAACAGGAAATCACATAGAGGTGTGGTGGGCAGACTCTAGAAGAGACGGTGCTTTGGACTCCAGGATCTCATCCTTCTTTCATCTCTTTACTCCTTGGAGCTTGGTGGAAGTTCCTCAGAATAGTTTGAGAAGCTATCTTATCTATGATTTGCTTGAAAGCTCTTTCACTGACAGCTTGCAGTTGTGTCATAGAGTTCTCTGACAACCTCTGCTTTTACTTACAGAAAATCTGTTGCCAAAACGCTTTGTCTCCCGCCAAGCACTTTTTCCAGCCAAAGTGACTGGGATCAGTTTGACCGAGGAGCTTGAGAGGAACCTCAAGCCCAAGCCACCACCTCCTCCAAGGTGAGATCTTGACTCTGAGGGCATCAAGTGAGTCTTTTCAAGGTTATTGTGCTCTGGCCATATGAAATGACCTTACACTGAGGAATGTTGTTGCTTCTCATCTTTTCTGGCCTGGTGGTCGCATTTCAGAGATCACATAGCAAAACAGCTACTGAGGATCTTGCCCATCCTCAAACCAATTGCTATGTGGGATATGGCCAATTACAAAGGACTGTTTACCAGAAAGGTACTTTCTGTCACTGTTCTGACCACCGTCTCCACTTCTTCTTGCCCTGCTCACATATTTGAAAATTTTCATGTATATGAAATCTTCAGGGCAAAGATTCCTTTGTTCATTTTTCTTTTGTTTTGCCTGAGTTAGTGGGGCCTTGTTTTTTATTATTTTTTATTATTTTGATTTTATTGTATTTTATTTAAGATGGCTAATAGACAGGAAGAGATATATAAAAGAAAGGACATAATATAAATGTGGTAAAACAGTTTAAAACAACAGCTCAGATCAGTTCAGCCATCAAAGTCAGATCCTGGTTGATCAGATAGACAGGGCTTGGACTCACGTAATCCGTCTTCTTCTTGCACAATTCAGTTTCCTTTGTCGCTTTCCAGTTCACGTTGTGCTGTTGGAGTCAAATGAAGCAAACAGTACTTTTTGCAAACCAGAATTTTCATCCAAACCAAACACCAAGGTATTACTTAATCTCTCTCAGACCCACTCATTCTCCCTTCAAATTTGTCCTCCCTCATAATATATTTTTCCATCTGATTTCACTTCTGGGGTTGAAGCCTTGCCAGAGGTACAGAGAAATAATAATGATCCCAACAACAGAGTCAACAACTATCTTGGTTATATTTGCAACTTAGAATTGGCCAGTGAAGAAGGGTTAAGCACTTGTCACCTTCCTGATTTTTTATTACAATTTCTTTTCTCTATCTTAGGTATGATACATTCAGACGTGGGGAATAGCTTTCCCATTTTCCTTTGTGTGAGAGAGGCAATATGAAGCTGATCTTGATAGGTTAGAGAAGTGAGCTGAAAAGATCATAATAAATTTTAACACAGTTAAATGGAAAGGTATTCACTCCGTGGGGGGGGGGGAATCAGAAGCGCAGATAGGGGATGGCCTGTTAATAGTGTACTTGAAAAGGATTTCGGACCTGTGGTTGATCCTAAGTGGGGTTTGATTCAAGAAAATGATGTGGTTGAAAAACAAGCAAATGTAGGTTAAATCAATAGAATCAATACAAATTCTAGGAAGTAAATAGCTTTGTTCTAGGCTCCACTGGCCAAGCTCTAACTCAAAAAATGTGTCCAATTCTGGACAACATACTTAAGAGCAATTCTTTGAAACTGGAGCAGTTGCAGAAAAGGGCAAAAACATTTTAACCCTGGCCGTGCAGCAACATATCATCACTGAAGCATGACAGACTGTATTCGTAGCAAAAATTGTGCTGGAAAAACCCTACAGCTAAAGCTGTCTCGTCTGTGAGCTGGGGATGAGACAAAGGCAAAAATATTGAAGCTGTGGCATAAAAAAGAACATGTTTGCGGTGTGGTTAGAGGAACTTGAAGATCAGCCCTTCATGACACGGGGCCGAGTTATCTGAGGGACTGCCTCTCCCCGATTACATTGGCCTGTCCCATCAGATCCGATAGGGAAGGTACACTACGTGTTCCATCAGCCAAGGACTAGCATTTGGTGGGTCCCAGGAGGTGGGCCTTCTCTGCTGTGGCTCCCTCCTTGTGGAACATTCTCCCCCTTAAAGTTAGGCTCGCCCCCTCCCTGCTGTCATTTAGGAAGCCCCTCAAGACCTGGTTGTGTCATCAGGCCTGGGAGTCTTTGGGAACCGGAGACATTCTTAGATGGCTCCACTGCAATTGATATTCTGCTCTCTCTGTGGAGTTTGTGTGTTTTAAAATCTTTTTTTTAATCTTTTTTAAAATCGGGGACAATGTGTTCATTCTAAGAATAATTTCTTAAATCTTTTTCTAATGCCTGTTTTTATTCACAGGTTATTTTATTTTAATTGGTTTAATTGGTAATTTTAATTAAACTGCCCAGAGTCGCTTTGTGTGAGATGGGTGGCTGTATAAATGTGACATATAAAGAAAAAAAGAAAGAAAGAAAGAAAGAAAGAAAGAAAGAAAGAAAGAAAGAAAGAAAGAAAGAAAGAAAGAAAGAAA